CCCAAAGCTTCCCGCTCAAATAGTTGCATGACAGTAACAATGAGCATGCCCGCACCCGATTCCTTATGATGAGCTATACAGCGGTTATGATAAGCATCCTCCCATCGGAATATCTCTCAATTTCCCGGTCCCGAAATAACCATTTGGAGATACACATCAGATCCCGAATATCTTGCTTGGCATGCCACGTGGGTTCCTCATTGGATCCTATAAATACCCCCCCGGGCCATGTAAAAAGGTAATTGAAACCAACCCTAAGCTTTTTTTATCTCCGCCCTAAAGGTAGCCCCGATTATTGCTGACTTAAGCATCGGAGTGTCCACCCCGAGTTTCACCTCGAGGCTTTGCAGGTCATCCCGGAGTGCAGGCGCGGACTGAAGAAGGACTTTTGGTTTGGTGCAATTACAAGTTCGAAGATTGGTGATACCATGGATGCGTATCCGTTGGGTTTCCAGATGCCTCTCTATTATCCTCGTTACACCAAGGCCGACTACGAGAAGATGGAGGATTGGAAGGTGGATTTATTCCTCAGATAATACGGTTCGAATTTCAAGGGTACCCTTATGAGAAGAGAGCTTTTGCAATGGGAGCATTCCTCTCGCCTGATCAGTATTAATTAATTGACCTCTGAGTTCAAAATTTTGATGGAATCTTTTCAGAGTCTTCCAAAAAACTGTTTTGGAATTGTCAAATGAAATGTGATTCTATATTTTACAAAGATAGTGTGTCTAAAGAATTACATGCATATATATACAATTACTTATATGGATGTTGAGACATCGATTTAATAAATTAATTAGAATTAAATTTATAACTTACTTTGAAGGATTGTTCTGGTTTTGTTGAACTTTATAAATATTGACATTTTGTTTATTGATTAATTGAGCTAGAGTCGATAAATTAGATATCATTAAATTGTGACTCAATTATTTTGACTATGATTTAAAGATAAAAATTGTATATATATATTTTTTAAAAATGTGTAAAAACTGCATGACTAATTATAAAGATTTACTTATTTGTTAATCTTATATATTTATGATGTCACTCCTATATAAATGTGTGGCATCTGTTATTCCGTTGTCTTTGGGTTGGGCTGTGACTGTTGGAGAAATTAAATACAGCATAAAAATAACTATTAATTTCTTAACATTCATGCAAACTTCTTGACCACTAGGGAATAGGGTGATCGTTTTTTTGGTACAGCTGCTGTAGGTATCCTAACATTTATGACTGTTACTTCAAAATGTGGTTTCCTAGGTAGCTACTGCCTACAGGCAATTCTTGAAATGAATATGTTGTTTTGGCCTAAGAATGGAAATGGGAATGCTGGTTTGCTTGGATGAATAATTACAACTGCCACGTTTGAAAACTCCTTGCTTTGGAAGGTTAAATGGCGCTTTTCAAGCCCAAAACAGGCACTTAATAGATGGTGAATTCAACTATAGAGCTTATCATACAACAAATTCAAGTGATTATCTAGACCTTCAAAATTCTACAATGGCAGTGGACGTCACATGAATTATTTCTGTTTTATATTTGTAAAAATAACTTTTTTTTTTATCTTTAGTAATTCTCTATAAAGACACTTACACATGAAAATAAATTATTTGATAATTCTATTTTTATACCATGTGACTATATTTCTCATTTAATGATTTTGCCTTTAGATATAATAGTGCAAATGCAAAATTTAAGTAGTATCACTAATATCTACAATTAAAATTTTGTATAATTGTTCTTCATTTGCGTTTATGAAGTTATCAAATTTTGTATTTAATGTTAAATATTTTGATATAAATTATTATGATATTATGATAGAATCATCTTCATCAGTTTTTTTAATTCACTACTAAAAAATGGAGTAATTCAAATCGATCATATACGGACCGAATAATGTCAGTCCGTGTAAATATAAATTCAGACCAATATCAATCCGAACATATTAATGTGGTACCATATTCATCAATCAACATATTCAAACCGTTTTTAGTCCGTATATTTATGGCGGGAATTAACAGTGCAAAGGCGCCAATACTATTCAGACCGAATACAATCCGAATAATTTTTCATAAAAATAAATATTAAATAACAAAAAAATTAAGAATAAAATATTATTTAAATGAATATATACGGACCAACTTCAGTCCGTATATATAAAACAGAAAATGCCTACATCCATTAAATATTTGGATCGATTTCGGTTTGAATATTTATAAATATTCAGACTGAAGTTGGTCCGAATAGTTTTTCGTAAAAAAAATTAAATAAAAAAAAATCTAAATAATATATTATTCAAATAAGGATCTACGGACCAAAATCGGTCCGTATATATCATGTGCAACGTCCTGAGATTCATTGAATTCATTGATTGTTACCAATTTGAATAGTGATTTATATTTAGACCGAAATCGGTCTGAAAATAGGCATCAGAGATTCCCTGAACCAATGAGACGTTGGGTCCCACTGTTCAGACTTATACGGACCGGGATCAGTTCGTATAATGTCCCCCACGCCTTTCCCCCTCGCGGCGCCCATCCCCTCCCCTTTTGCATTGCATCTGTGATTTTCCTTTGTTTTTTCTTCCTTTTTTCTTCGTCTATACCCCAAGCTTCTCCTCCTCCAATCTCTGGCCAACCATAGAGGCAGAGAACGTTTTCCCTGTCGGTTAGTGGTTGGCGATCTCGTTGGTGTTTTTTTTTTTTTTTTTT